TACAGACATATGAAAGATTGCGGAAACCCGGGAAACACCACTCGCGGTTCCTTTCACTCAAGTGTTCGTGCTGGAAAAGGGTAAATTTGTTACCTGACGGATAGTGCCAACGTCGTCACTGCTCGCCGACACGTCATCATAGATGGTTTCGGCGGCATCGGCGCCGGAAAACGAGTACTCGCTCAGCCCTCGGATCTGGAGGCTCTCGGCCGTCTTGAGCAGCGAATACAAGTCACGCTGACCGACACACAGCTCGCCCTTGTACATGAACTCGACAAGCGCCTTCATCTCTTCACTCTTGACGCCCTTCAGCAAAATGATCGGATGCTTGCAGGGGTTCTCCGCCAGGAGGCGCTGGAAGTAGGGGCTGCAAGCGCAGAGCACCACCTTGTGCGCCCCGAATCGGTCGCCATCGCAGGCCAACGTCACGTCGATGAACAACTCCTCCGCGTGCAGGTAGTCCAGGACTTCCATGAAACTGTTTGGGTGGTTCCTCCATTTCAGCAGGTAGTTTTTCGAGGACATCTCGCAGCGAACTAAACATAAGGGCAGAGAGAGGACGGAAAAAAGGAAAGGGTCCGTCAGCACCAATCGAGCCTCCGTTCACAAATCAAACTCCAACACGCGGTACACTTTTTTTCTTTTTCATAAGGATCTGAAAAAATTTCCAATATATGTAATCCAATGGAACATGCTGAATGCACAAGAACTCCGGAATCCCGCGCATGGATCCGTTTCCACCGAGAGAAAGCAAATCGGGCAACAGCACAGAATAATACAGTCCGAGATTTGCGAAAATTTTGGGATCTCGTGTAAAGTCATACTGAATTTTTTTCACGTCTTGATTATGATAAATGTCAATTGCAAACAGAACTCCGAATACCTGCGCTCAAAATTCGATTTACGGAGAATAAACGGAGTCGTCAGCACACTGCGATTTATAATCTCGAGTATAACCACATTATTTCACGTAGATTGACCAATCGGGCAATTCTGAAATTTAGGGAAACACTGGTAATAATTTCAGATTATTCCGGATCGTTTTCCATAGAAAATTCATAACAACATCAGGCGATTATCCATGATTTGATTATCCTGGCGAAGAACTCATGTACTTAGCACTGATAATGAGTTATTTTTCAGTTTCAGCAACACGAAGAATGAACAAACTATTAAAAACTTCAGCACCACCTAATCTCGGCCCCAATCACGAACACGTCCTTGACAGTATAGAATCGACCTCAAAACAATTGAACAATTAGTCTCGTGTAACCCAAAAATATCGAGGACACCTCGATTCAATTACAGTACATCGCACCTTCGTCAATTCAAGAAATATGGCCCTGATCAAAT